TGCAGGACAGTGGAGACGCACGAGTGATTTTTCCTCAATTCGATTTTCGTCTTCCATCCTTTCGCAAAACTACCCGTAACGTAAACTTTCCCCTTTTCAGCCTCCTTAGCCTCCACTTCATTTCCTTTAGCCTTCTCGCTCTCCCCTCCGCCATCCTTCCAGACAATCATGGTAGTTATTCCGTCAGGACCAGCTCCCAAGTCGACGGTATGGTCCGCAATAATGGCAGCCTGAGTTGGACTAGCAACGGTAGCGAGCGGAAAGAGCGGTGGCGACGCTATCGGCGATGGCGAGAAGAGGAGCAGTTTGTGGATACCTACTTGTTGGAATGGGGCTTTGGAGGGTGGCATGTGGTACCGCGGGGAGTGGATCGTCCGGAGGGAGAGGAACGGTTGAAAGAGCTTGAATGACGTCGGTGTGCGTGATATCGAGTCCTTTAACATCTATCTTGTCGTCAACAATGGGCTCCTCTAGCGTAGCTTTCACTGCTTCCTCTCTGGCGCGCTCACTCTCTTGAGCTACTTCCAGCTCCAGCCCCTCGCCACCTTTTCCACCAAGCAAAACCACTTTGCCCAACTCCCGAAGTTCAAGAGGAGGAACGGCCTTTGCGATCACAGTTTCTTCAGGGAGATGGTTGAGTGGGATGGTCGGCGTTCCTTTGTCCACATGTTCTAGCGTCATCGGGGTTGAGGGGAGGGGAAACGGGGTGAGGAGAGGAGGCGAGCTGGGCATCACGATAGAGATAGAGGTATTAGGAGTTGACGGAGGAGGTAGGGCAGGAGGCAGAGAAAGACCGATTGGAAGGGAATCAACGAGCAGTCTTGCGCTTTCCTGGTCATCCATCGCACCAAGAGGGATGTTACCAAGTCCTTTCAGTGGAGTGGAGGGGTTTGAGGATGGTTGGAGCACATTTATCGTGCTCTTCAATGGTCGAATCGAAGAAGTTAGTGCTTCCTCCTCGAGTTCTCCGTCCTTTCTCGCTGCTGACAGATCGTCTGCAATCTCTGCGTCTTCATTCGGCTTCCTCTCGCTGAACTGTTCTGGAACCACAGGAGCTACGACGGGCGTGAGATCGCTCTCTGAGGCTAGTTGGAAGGTTGGAATCCGAGGAGAGAGCGGGCTGAGAGGTTTGGGGGACAACGTGGGCTTCGTGGGTGAAGGAGTAGTAGGTCCAGATTCTCTGCCCATGATAGGATTTCTCCAACCTCTGTCATCTTTCTCCTTCCCTTCTGCTTTAGAAGTTTTCCCCTTCTTGCTCAAGCTCGCATACACCCCATCGCCTTCGAACCTCCGACTACTCTTACCGACAGCCGACACGCCCGTCACTCCTTGTTTCGGAAGGCTTGGGGAAATGGGGATCACTGGTGACCCTTGATTACTTGAGGCGCCCTGAGCGGAAGGATCGAAGTCGAGCGCAAGCTTGGAACGACGTGACGAAGTTGATCGAGTGGCCGAAGAATCGTCATAAGGTCCACCCAAGCCGGGAGCATGGCCGTTCTTCTTCTCCTTCGACGGATTGTTCCCCATTTCCCCAGGTACCTGCTCTCAACTAAGAGAAATGAGGGTGTTAGTGCTTCTTCTCAGATTGTGGGACCGAAATCTCAAAGGGTTCAACGAACAAGTCTGTCAGCTAACCTCTTGGAAACGGTACACAGCCTTGCAGGTATATTGAATGTCTAAGCTGAGAACAAGAGAATAGGATCAGGAGAAATTTAGACACCTCGTTAAGCAAATTGAAGTCTCGACAGCAGGTGCTTTCCGGTAAGTCGCACAACCCAACCACGAATTCATTTGCAAGCGGGAAGGACGCACCAATTAGATAAATCAAACTCTCTCAGTATGTTGTATGTTGCACACCTCCAGCGGCAGCTCACAGATCCTAATGATCCCAACTCCCCAACAGATCGCTTTCAGAAGCTGAGCCAGAACTGACAATGATCGAACGTGGAGTTGAGTCATCTCGTTTCACAGAAAACTCAAATACTACCACACAATAAATTCTAGTCCATTCGTATTACATGAATCCAATAAATCGCGAGTACATTAGAACATAGGGAAAGGATTCCAGTTTGCAGTTTGCGCTCCATTCTGGTACGCACCAATTGCCGGAGTCGGTACACCCATAATATCGCTCCACGAACTGGTTTGGTTATTTGGGTTTTGATTGGCAGGCAAAAGGCCCTTCGCAGGTCGTCAACATCGTAGAAGTCACAGAAGAACGTAAGTGGAACTTACAAGACTTTGGAGGAGCGCCAGATTTTGTTCGCTCAATTGCTGCTGAGAGTTTCCAGCTGTGTTGAATTGGGACTGTTGTGAAATATCGTTTTGTTTCGATATCCGTCGTGGCACAGCTCCCATACTGCTTGAGGGGGAACTGGATTTATTTACGCGGGTGTTCTGTTCGTCGCGATCCTGGACATCGATCGCCAGCTCTCTAACGACTTCCTGGAAGCTTTTCACAGATTTCCCATCAGCCTTCGCGTCCATTCGACGCCTAATCGGTCATACAGTCAACTCGCTTCACAAAATATAAGGTGAACACTTGCCGAGCTGCAACAGCAAGATGCTCCAACAAATCCGCGCTCCGTCTCACAACTGGTAAAGCGGAACCAGAAGGAGGACACCCTGAAGCTTTGTAATTTGTTAGGCTCTCGTCCAGTGCCCGCAACTGGTCCTCGATTTCTGAAGCCGGCGCGCCAGTGTCAATCATATGAAAGGTGTCTTGATAAAGAGTCATCAAGGCCGTCAACAACTGGTGGTGGGTGAACCATAGATAACGGACTGGGCTCTCGCGAAATTCTGAATGAGAAGCAACGATGACCCTTGCGCACCTACAAAGGAACTGTTAGGAAAGTATAGATGAAGAATTAATAAAGAAATTTGCTTTAGTGCCGCCTAGATAAACATGGTGAAATTCAGGTTGCAGAAGCTACAACAAGAAAACAGCGAACCTTGGTGGAATAGGCAAATAAAGGCTCATTGTATCCTCGTTGCATAAACGGCCGATGCAGGCGTAGGATCTTAGCTTCGTTAGTTAAAACTTGTTCTGTTTCTGGGACAATTGTTCATACCCTATGATTAACAGCTAATCGCCTGGTTAACCAAAAATATATCCTAAATGCACAAAAAGCATACCTCCATTAAGCAGATTTCTCTGCCAGCCAACCTCAGGCTTCTTCGTCTCCAGCTCCTTATTAGGTATGGTCATGCATTCAGGCAGAGTGTCAATCGCGTCTCTAAATCCTTTATCGAGTCGCACAACTGGTCGCAAAGTTAGAGACAATGTCGCTTCAAGGTCACGTACTCGTTTCGTAACCCAAGAACTCATCCTTGGCCTGCACTTCTTGCATGTGATGCAAGTGACGCATGATCTTCGAGCGGAAGATATCGATGGTGGCATCTGTGTACGTATGCACTGGCTAAGAACCAATGAGACGCTGTGACTGAACAGTTTGCAGGACAGACCTTTGGAGTGTTGATACTGTCTGGCGAGAGGTCGTCGTCGTCCAAATTAATTGGCAAATCTGTTGAAAAGTATCTTGGATCTATCATGAACGAAGTCGAATATTGCATATGATCCAAGGTGACCTTTTGGACCACAAGAATTAACGCTTCCGCCAAATCTCTCCAAGAGAATGCAAATGCTCACGAGACAGTTCCAACATCGTTTCGCCATTTCTCTAGCAAGTGTGTTTACCCCGATTGGATATGCAGGGTCGGGTGGAGGCATCATATGCGGGTCATCTCCCAGGTCATGTAGTCCAAGGGTTTGAGCTATCTCGGGAATGAGAACATTGTGCAAGAGGGTGGGATAAA